ATTAATTTTTTAAAATATTAATATACTTTTGGAAATAAGTCTTTTGATTCTATATTACTAACTTTCATCAGATGGCAAGTGAGACATTCTAAGTTCTTTGTTTTTTGTTTTTGTGGAATGGAGTGTGCAGGATTTCTAGTCGTAATCTAATAGGGAAATAGTTGGCGTTATTAATTGTTTGATTAATATGGTTATCGATCTCATTCTTTTAAATAGAAAAAAAAAATCTCTTTTCTGATAAATTTATTTGAAACTTTTTGCATGTAGGAATTGTTGATATTTCAAAACGTCAAAACCCTATCTAATCTATCAACTCATATTTTTTATAAAGTGGAAGTGGCGTAAAACTCAAGAAGTGTTTGTTGCTGATTAGGGCTCTCTTCATGCCATATGCTATATACAAGAGAGTAATGCTCCCTTCTGGTTTCTTGTATGGGTTTAAGTAAAGAACATGAGTTGATATTAGCAAAAAATGTGTTTTTGAAGGGTCTTCTGAGTTGTCTTGATTGGTACGTACACAAAAATTTTGTGTTAGGATGTTTTGTGGATCAATAAGATGAGTCAATTGCCTTCTATTTTTTTGGAATATATACATTTGATCGACATTGTAATATGCAATTTCAGGTATGAAATGAATTCTACACCAACCTGCTCAAACATGCCAACTGTCTCTATTGATTAGATTCATTTCTCTAACTTTAACATTACCTCGACCAAAATCAATGCAATTTTTTTCTCTTCTGCCTTGAAAATTATTTATTTCTTGCTTATAAATGTCAAATAGAAATCAAGCTGGACCTCCTTATAGAGCTAATAAGTGTCTCATATATTTTTTTCCCATGTAGGATATATTCTTTTATAAAATATGAAAATACCTTTGATATTGGCCTAGCCCTATAAAGAAAATGATTGGGGTCGATAGTGGTTAAAAAAAAAAAAAAAAGTTCAAAATGAATCGATTTATTTTTTTATTTTTCTTCTTTTCTTGGTGAGTTGGTTTGTCCCTATCTCTTTTTCTCCAAACCTTATTAAGTTGATTTTATTTTTTCTTTATATCTTTATTTTTAACCATATCTGTAAGTGCAAACCCTCTCCATGATAAGTCCGTCACAAGGAATATTTTTGAAGTCCTCTTTACAAAAATTATCTATATAATATTTATTATAATAATTTAATATGTGATAATACTATTTAGCATTTCTACATAGTTCAAAATAAAATAAATGTTTACTAAAACAGATGGTACATAAATTATTGGATGAGTTCTTCAAAATAAATGTTTCATGTTTCTGTTGTCCCATATAGCACCCCTTCTTTTATAAAATATAAATACCCTTAACAGTAACATAGCCCAAACAACGGCTTAAGTAAATAGCAGTCAAACTAGAAAAAAAATAAATTTAAAATGAATTGATTTGATGCAATCTTTCATTCTCTATGCCCTACTAACATAAATTATTTTTTTTAATCTTTTTAACTCGATTTTATCTTTATCTTTATATCTAGCATATCTTTAGGTACAAGTCCTCTCTACCAAGAATTCACAGAAATGAACTCTCCTAAAGCCATTTCGATGATAAGTGCCTTACAAAAAACCCTTCTGAAATCCTCTCGATAAAAAGTCTTGTATAAGAAATTTTTCTAAAGTCATCTTGATAATTTTCACACTAGGTTTTCACGGTTTTTCCTACAATCTTATGTTGGTCACTTTCTAATATTTTTCGAAGCACTTCATATTATTATTTTTTATCAAAAACATGAATTTTTTTATTAAGTATTTTTTGTTCAATAGGTAATCCATATTTAAAATGTTTAGGATTTGATATATTCTCCAAGGCTTAATTTAGAATTACATTCATTGCTTAAGAAGGCAAAGAAAAAAACTTATGGAAAAGGTACATATTGAAAATCTACCTTCTAATATATCATTTTAGCCATTTGTTTGTGAAAAAAAGTAAATATTTTTGTTAGCTTGCTTGATGTAAAAGACAGAAATTTTGTTGTTTGCTAAGAAATGAAAAAAATTATGGTTACACTGATTGCTTAGGATGTAAAAACTTCATAGAATTCTCTAATGTACTTCTGGTACTTGTTTCATGTAATTAAAATTATTTTTAACTTAAAAATATTTTAATTTCAGTTTAAATTAACTAAAAAAAAGTAAGATGACATGAATGCAGCCTTTCAAAGATTGAATTCACTTAAACTACCTAATTTACAAGAGTAAAAAATAGAAAAAGGTTCCTTTTTGAGAAATCATCCTAGAATCACCTCATATCATTGAGAATGGGTTGTGAAGTGAATTTTGACCGCCTTTTCAATTTTTTTGTTCATTTAAATTAGGAATTTATAGTTATTTGAATCAGTTTAAGACTGATTTTAGTAAATTATTGGTTTTTGGGTCAATCAATGTTCCATTTTCCTTAACATTTTACTTTCACAATGTTTTTGAACGAGGCTAGATGAATTTTTTTTAGAAATAGGGTCTCAACTACTCTGATTTTCTATTTAAAATCAATGAATTCCTATTTAAAATTAGAGTAAATCAAGCCTTTTTTTACTAACTTAGATTTTGATTTTGATCCTCAATTTAAAATTTGATTTTGATCCTCTATTTAAAATCAATAAAATCCTATTTAAAATTAGAGTAAATCAAGCCTTTTTTTACTAACTTACCCTCCAATCACCTTTAAACTTTGAGAATCAGTTAAGTGAAGTTTGATCAAATTTTCTTTTTTATTTATTTAAAATGTGAATTGATTTGGTTGAATTTTTTTTTTGAGTTAAATAATGCTTTGTTTGCTCTTGTTGACTCAAAAACCTTGTACTTTACTTTGATAGTGTGTTCCGATGACTGTTACACTGACTTTTTTCTTATACAGGGTTACATCATTTCGAGTCCTTTATAAGAAAGCAATATAACCCTATTGAAAATTATATAGCTCATGTATAAAAAAAAAATTTAAAGCCATATTTGGCCCCAAAATTCCTTACCATTTCAACTTAGATAGGCCAAAAAAAGAGAAAAAAATAAAAGTGTGTGTGTGTGTATTTATTGTAATTGATATTTGGAGGCTTCCACACTCTTAAATGATGTCATTTTATTAATCTCCAATTCTTCTAATATTCGATATTATGGGCAAATTTGCTCTTTCTAAAATTTGCTCTTAAATGATGTCATTTTATTAATCTCCAATTCTTCTAATATTCGATATTATGAGCAAATTTGCTATTTCTAAACTTTAAGAGGATATACATATAAGTTTGTTTACGTTCTGTTCCTGTGCTATTTTTTCGCAGTCAAAGCAATAAAAGGTTACAAAAACGAGAAGAATTCATCAATTCATATGTTTCCCGAGTATTATATGTTTATGTAGATTTTTGGCCCACACATTATTTTATTACTTCAAGTATATGCTCCTACTCTTATCATGCTAATATGTGTTCGTAATCGGTACTAAACATTATGAGTGATTTGTTTTATGTTTGTCATTTTCCTTTTCAGAAAATTTCAAAATAATCTTTTCATCATCTATCTTCTGGTAGTGGATGAAGTACAAAGTAGCGAATGACATTTAAATTATAAAGGATAAAGGAACTAATTTGAACGATTTGTATTTGCACTGTTAACTCTTATAACACTTG